TATTCATAAAGTGCTCAAATACATTCTTAAAAAGATAAAAAATCAACAAATACACTAGTTGAGAAATATAGCCTTTTTTCAGGGTCATAGGACGTATATGATGAATCAACTTTGATTCTACCAAGAAAAAGTAATATAAGGTAAAAAAGTTACATCAGTGAAAATTAAAAAAATTATTATTTTAAAAAATAAACAAATTCAATGAAAGCAATAAGTTATCGATCTGGATCGCTTAAGGTGGTTTAAGGATGGACAGTTAGTCTTCCTAAAAAGAAATGAGTAGGCTTCACGATACCACTGAAGTTCGCCTAGCATTGACTCTCAAGGCGTCACCTTATCCAGAGTTAAATGCAGTTACGATTTCGAGTAATGAGGAGTGGCGACCTAACCACTTTGCTACACAGCCGTGGGTGAGTAGTTTACAGGGCAGGTGATATGAAGGATAAGCCAGGTCTGTTAGAAATCGCATTTGATGAAAAACCTCCACACTCCACGCTGGCATTCTCATCCTCCACGGGGCGTTATTTCCCACTGCCTCTGGAAGACTAACTTGAGGCTGAAGTTGCCGCGTAACTCTCATGGTCAGGCCTTTGCCTCATGGACCACGTCTATTGTAAAACCTACCTACTGTCAGCCAACTAGCTCTAGTCTCCGCCTCATCTATCCTGGTTCTATCCGTAATTCTAAGTCTTTTACTTCATATGCCCTAGTCTCCTGTATGCCAACCCACAAATGTTGTGGTTCAACATTGAACCTAATCAAAGCAAACAGTACCCCAACATTTGTGGGTTGGCACACAAGAGACTAGGGCATAGGGCGTAATAAACTTGGTATTAGAGATTGAACCAGGAAAGACGTGGAGACTTGAGCTAGTTGGCTGATAGTAGGCCTGTTTCACCATAGACGTGGTCCATGAAGCAAAGGCTTGACCATGAGAATTACGCGAGGACTTCAGCCTAAGTTACTCTCCCAGAGGCAGTGTGGGAAATAATGCCTCGTGGAGTACAGATGGAGTGGCAGGGGTCGAGTGAAATACTTGAACCAGGGAGATAGCAGACGGATCTTACTGGGAGGAGGGAGACTCTGATAAGATCTAGGGAAAGAGGACTGCGTAATAATATGGCAGACTCTGATCAACATTCCCAGCACAAGAGCGAAGAGGGATAAGAATGCCAGCGTGGAGTGTGGAGGGTTACCTGAAAGCCGCTCAAAAAAGCACACCACACTACATTTAAATAGGCTAGGTGGGTTCCTCTAAGTCTTCCTACCAATATGACCAAGTAGCGAAAACAACGTCAAACAACTTATATTCATCTCCTGATGTCGCCATCCTAACAGCTTTCGAAAAAGGTAGGTGAACTGCTAAGAAAGAGGAACAACAAAACAATTTAAAACGAGAATCTAATACTATCCTCAATTATGCCTTCTTGGACCCTCATTTCGGATCAGGATACCACAATGCTTTACTGTGTTAATATATATGTGAAAGAGACCTGCCGACAGATACATACGAGGTTGTTTGGACACAGAACCGCCTGAAAGGATCTATGGGTAAAAGATCCGGACCACCTGAGCTAATACATGACGTGAAATAGTGGTCCAAAACAGCTTTTTGCAAGCTATAGGTATTTCACATCATAGCGCAAGATTATAACGCCCATAGAAATTAACAAAGCAGTCAAGATCTTGAAAATAAGAATAAGTGTAGCAAAGTGAGTGGAGCCAATCGTAGCTGAATAGGCTTAAGGAGGCACGAAGAGAAGTTGAGTTAGAGTGAATAGCTTGATTCTAATTAAGAGACTCACAAACTTCGCATGACTTAGACATTCCATAAACAATACGCAATACCACGTACCTAAAAATGTTAAAAAATTGCAGGATAATACGTTAGCTTATTAAGGCTGCCACTACATCCACTTACTTTTCATGTATCAACCTCTCCAATCTGCAATAATGTATTTTAGCCAACCAAGTTATGATATACTTAATTAGGATAGACAAATTAGGTACAAGAAGTGAATGTAGTCGTACCAGGCGACACTTAATTCTTGGCTCATTTTATTTGGCGGACTTTAGTAAACTAGGGCAGTCCTTCCTCATTATAGAGCCAGACGAATGCACGAATTCCTTCCAATGAACTTTTACTTCGAAATGGAAACTCAAGTCAAAATAAATCACTATGGGATTTTTCGAAACCTAGCTTTTCCTCAAGCATCAATTAATAATAATATCAAAATATACTGACATTAAAAATAAATAAGGTCGTCGATTGCAATAACAAATTATAGTTTATTTCGTCGGCGATCTCACTATAAATATGGTTTAAGAGGACAGGCCTGCCTTGAATGTCACACCTGCCCTATGACATAATGATATCCATGGTTGTATAGCGAATTTGTGAGGTCACCAAAATGCCAAAGACTCGGTATCGAATATTATTAAAGATAATGATGAGGCCTAGGTGAGATCGTAACTACAGTGCACATTGTATGATAGAACGTCTTGGGGGACAATGCTAGATTGACTTCAGTGGTATCATGAGACTAACTCATATAATTGTAGGGAAAAAACGTAACTTTCCGCCTTAAATCACTTCAAGTGACTTAGAGAGACCAAGATCTTAATCAAGAATTAATAACAGCCTCGGAGTTTACCTAAATCAAGAAGATAAGACATTTACTAGAGAAAAGCAGTAATACAGACTGTAAATTATTATGATTAATATTCTAGTAAAAAATTTCAGATCTTAAGCAACTCATTAAGTATGCTTTGAAGGTTTAGGAAAAGTAGACTAAGACAGAAAATGTAAATCATTGGCCTAAATATCGAGCATTCATACAAAATATTTATAAATATTAAAGATGGTATATATGAAAATCCAAAAGTTGTTCACACACGTGCCATAGAAAAAATAAACTATGATGACCTAGTCGAAGGTATGAAGACAAAGATGTTGTGGCCTTTAGCATAGTCACTGTCTCCTTTCGGAGACCTGGTTTTCGCAACTTGGTCATATTGTTAGGAAGACCTAGAGGAACGAACCATGGTATGCATGATAATTTTTAAAGTCGGACCGTGGACTTGGCACATGCCAAGACACTTCGCCGGCATCGGTAATGAGCTATGCCATTTTTAGCATAACACTACAACTCACCAATAAGATAAATGAAGTCGATCCTTTGACCAATTGTCTGCTAAACAGTTGTGGTATCTACCCTTCTGGTGTATTCACATATCCCATAGCCTCGTAACATCCACCTTTCTGAGCGAATTTAGTGGGACCTATTCACAATCCCTACTGGTTACCTCAGCCCCCAGTCTTAGTGTTAGCTCGAGTCTGTCCTATTAATCCGCAATCCTCTTCTCTTATGTTCTATCAGAATCTCCCTCTTGCCCCGTAGGATCCGTCTTTTATCTTCCTGGTCCAGGGATTTCAAGCCACTACTGCCACCTTATCCGTGCTACTCGAGGCATTATTTCACACTGTTTCAAGCCTTTGATAGCATGCATATTAATAGGACAGACTCAGATCAACACTTCCAGCAGAGGGGAGGATGAGGAAACCAGCGGGGAATGTGAACAGATCTCACTAAATCCGATCAAAAGGGAACACCGGAACAAGCTTTAAATAAGCAAGCAAGAAACTGTGATAGTAAAGGGGTGCTACGAGGATATTAGATAGGTGAATACAACTGTTTAACAGACAGTTGGTCAAAGGATTAGCTTCACTTGTCTTTTTGATCATTTGTAGAATGGGGCTCATTACTGTCGGCGTAACGTCTGGGAATGTGCCAAGTAAACGATCCGGCTGTGGAAATTATCATGAATACTGCGAACTCCTGACAAGGTGCGTTCCTCTAGGTCTTCCTGACAATTCGATCGAATTGGGAAAAAAAGATCAAACAACTTCTACACAACGAAAGGAGGCAGCAGGCATACTAAAGGCCACGCCATCCTGGTCTTCATACCTTCTATTAAGCAAATGAATTTTATTTCTTAACTCTTTCCTAAATCTCGCAAGCAAACAGAAAAACATTTTCAGATGCCCCGGCAACCTAGGGTCAAGCAACTACCGTTCATAGCCTAGTTGTAAAGATTTACTATAAAAAATAAAATGTGAAAAATTGTTACTTTTCTTGCGTCAGATTTATCTGTGTAGCTTGATCCACCATCCGAAGAAAAAAGAGCAGACTCTGTAGGCAATCCATTTGGGAATGATCCAGATCCAGAGGAAGCTAATTCGTCAGCAATCGTTCGTCTTTTAATTTCTTCATCGACTAAAGGAAGGGTGCCCAATATCTGAAAGGAGTGCAAATGTAAACTGATAAAGGCAGAGGTAGAATTGAAGAATATTTGGTCAGGAGCGTGAAGAAAAGTTGAAATGATAGCGAATGTAATATTAAAACCAGTCGCATAAATAAGTAAAATGATAAATGTATGAAGCATACAAGACACTTGATAAATGTAAAATTTGAATTCACCTGCCGCAGGTTAACCATGAAAGTATTTATCTCTTCCAGTGTAGTACAAAACTCGCCAAAAATCCAAATTATTTGTCGTAATGCGACCCGATTAGTTACAGAGGGCAAAATCAGAATAAGCCGTTCCAAAATTAACGTCTTATGCTGTGGATAACGCTGAATTACCTCTCTGAGAAAGCGACATGATTCGGTGGCTGCACGTGGATCACCCATATCATTATAAGTGAAGAGCTGAATTAAAATTGAGAGAAATTGTAAACAGGATAAATTTATCACGTTAAGCGATTCTTGGAAAATACTAATAATTGCTATTTGTTGGCAAGTAATAGAGCAGCCTAAAGTAAGGATAAATATATTTTATATGAAGATACTAAATGAGTAAAAGGAGCAAAAACGTTGAGGGGCAACATTCCTTAAGTATAGTAAAGCACTATACACAGAATCCGTTCAGAGCGTTTAGAATTACAATTAAAAGAACTAAATAAAAAAATTCAAAAGGAATAATACTTAGATGTAAGAAGAATTTCAAAACAATATACAAACGAATATAATATGGCCGTTATGTAGTAAGGAGACAACTATGAAGGAAGACTATAGACAAGCCTGGAATAAAAATTAAAGAATAAAAGCAAACACTATAATCTGAATGGACTTGCCTCACAGAGTGCAGGAACAATATGCCCTATTGTCTCGGGAAATCTAGTACAAATTTCATGAACAGTATGTACCAAGTAATATAAATAAGAAGTCTCATCTGTCGAATGGATGGTAGAGGAAGGACTTCCAGATGTATTCTGAGAATTATCGGATTTAACATCACCAGCTGTGGAGGAGCTCGTAGAAGTGCTACAATTGACGCTTAGGGAACTGCAAGCTTTAATAATTTCTTTTCGATAGAGACCAACCAGTTCGTCGGCAGTACGAACAGTTACCAAATCAATTGTAATCTCGAGTGTTTTCTGACGCAGTTCGAGATCAGAAGTTCCTAGTAGGAATGATATAAAGAATCTTGCAAACTATAAATATCAACGCAGTTATAATCAAGAGTATGAATGGATCGATGAAGAACACAAAGTTTCAAG